CCTCTCTTTAAATTTTTTTACATCTCTTTATTTATTCTGTTACAGTTTTTTTTTAACTCTTTGGGGCCCCTCCACCCAGCTCCCAAATTAATACACCGAGACTTATTCTTACTTATGAATGCCTAGCATTGGCTTGGCTTGTTTCTAGCCACCTTTTCTTTCTTCCTTCCTTCCTTCCTTCCTTCCTTCCTTCCTTTCTTTCTTTTTCTTTCTTTCTTTCTGTCTTTCTTTTGTGCCAGCTTTTCTTAAATTATCCCATTTCTCTTTAACTACGTTTTGCCTCTGGGCTTTTTACCTTTCTTTATTTTGTATGTCTTTCTTTTACCTTCTTACTCTGTGTCTGGCTGTGTGGCTGGCCCCTGGAGTCCTCTTCTCCTCCTTTTCTCACTCCTCCCTCTCTTCTCTGCATTTCTCCTCCTATTTATTCTTTCTGCCTGCCAGTCCTGCCTATCCTTTCTCCTGCTTAGCTATTGACCATTCAGCTCTTTTTTGTTTGTTTGCTTTTTTTGTTTGTTTTTCAAGACAGGGTTTCTCTGTGGCTTTGGAGCCTGTCCTGGAACTCATTGTGTAGACCAGGTAGTCTCAAACTCACAGAGATCCGACTGGGATTAAAGGTGTGAGCCACCAATGCCTGACCCATTCAGCTCTTTAGTAGACCAATCAGGTGTTTTATGCAGGCAAAGTAATACAGCTTTACAGAGTTAAACAAATGCAACATAAAAGAAGGCAAAACATCTTTGCATCATTAAACAAATATTCCATAACATAAACAAATGTAATACATCTTAAACTAATATTCCACAACATTATGTGTGTGGTGAGCCAGAACACCACAGCATGTATATGAAGGTCAGAGGACAACTTGTGGGAGTTGATTCTTTCCTTCTACCAAGTCAAGAGATGAAACTCAAGCCAGCAGGCTTGGTGGAAGAACCCTCCCACTGAACCGTCTTGCTGGCCCTGTCTTTGTTTTTATTATTTACTTACTTACTTATTTATTTATTTTTTGGTCTTTCAAGGCAGGATTTCCCTGTGTAGCTTTGGAGCCTGTCCTGGAACTCACTCTGTAGACCAGGCTGGCCTCAAACTCACAGAGTTCCACCTGCCTCTGGCTCCCAAGTGCTGGGGTTAAAGGCTTGCACCACCATCACCCGGCCTGTCTTTGCTTTTTACATCTCCACTTCTAACTTTCCCTTTGGGTGCTGGGAATCAACCATGTGTCCTCTGGAAGAGCAGCCAGTCCTTGTAACCTCTGAACTATCTCTCCAGCTCCGTCTTTGTTTTTTGAGACAGGATCTTGTGTAGCCCATGATCCTCCTGCCTCCACCTCCCAAGTGCTAGGATTATAGGCATGTGCCATTGCATGGACTAAGCAATAATATTTTATTGAATGTATATAAATATTACAATATTTCAATTATAAGAGCAATTCAACTGTGTTATTTATGAATTATATTTAATGTGGAATTTACCACATTTTAATGTCTTGTACAGAATAGCAACCGAGGAGGCAAGAAATGTAGTTCAGTACTAGAGTGACTGCCTAGCAGACTTTGTTTTGTTTTGTTTTGGTTTTTGGTTTTTGGTTTTTTGGTTTTTCGAGGCAGGGTTTCTCTGTGTAGCTTTGGAGCCTATCCTGGCACTCACTCAGTAAACCAGGCTGGCCTCGAACTCACAGAGATCCTCCTGCCTCTGCCTCCCGAGTGCTGGGATTAAAGGCGTGCACCATCAACGCCGGGCCCTAGAAGACTTTAAATTCATTTAAAAAATAAAAGAAAAACAGGTTGGTTGGGCTGGAGAGATGGCTCAGCAGTTAAGAACACTGACTGCTCTTCCAGATGGACCCGGGGTTCGATTCCCAGCACCCACATGACAGCTCACAACTGTCTGTAACTCCAGTTCCAGGGGATCTGACACCTTTACATCAATGCACATAAAGTAAAGTTAAATAAAAATTATTTTACAAAATGTCATTTAGCCCAGGCTATCCCTGACCTCTCTATTAATTGAGGCAGGCTTCCAACTCCTAACCCTCCTAGCCCCTTCCCATTCCCTGGTGCTGGAATTGTAGGTGTGTGCTACCACACCTAGCTGCAAGCTCTAGATTCTAACCCCAGAGAAGGAAAAAAAAAAGGAAACTAAAGGTTTGGTTTGGTTTTTGAGAGAAAATTTCTCTTTGTAGCCCTAGCTGTCATGGAACTCAGGCTTTCACCACCACTGTGGACAGAAACCAAAAGTTTTAAAGGAGTCCTGTCTCCACCTAGTTTACTCAACTGGAGAAACTTTTCTCTTTCCTTGTCAGGATTTCATCCTCTCTCTTCCTAATGCCCCATCTTCACATCGGGATTGTTGTAAAAGATACACCCTCAGAATACTAATAATTAATAATAATAATAATAATAATAATAATAATAATAATAAGTGTATTGTTAAAGGTCTGGATATCAGACCCAAAGTAATATTAGGATTTGACTGTGTTCTCCATCAGCTACTAGGGATCACAAAGCTTGCTTTGTCATTGTTTATTCTTGTTCGTACTTTTTTTACAAAAGATTTGTGTGTGTGTGTGTGTGTGTGTGTGTGTGTGTGTGTGTGTGTTTGTCTTTATGTTTTTGTTTGTTTTGAGAAAAGGTCTCCCCAAGTAACCCTGGCTGGCCTAGGACTGAAAGCGATCCACTTGCCTCTGCCCTTTGAGTGCTGGGACTTAGGTGTGTGTGACCACACCTGGCCTGAGTGAACTGAGGAGGCACATGCCAATGCTCCCAGCATTTAGGAGTCAGAGTCAGGAAGATCCCAATTTGGAGGCCACCTGGGCTATACATTGAAACGTTATCTCCACAAAAAGTAATAATTTCTTCATCCCTATCAACTGGTTGGTCAACTTCAAGGACACTATTTATGTTATCTTAAATGGAAGAAGTGCCACTCACAGAAAATGCAGGGTGAATGATGCACCCCTGAGCAGTTTGCTGGGTGAATGAAGGTAACCCCATGATACCTCTTGCGAATTCCACACCTCCCCTTCATCACCTTTAAATCCTACCCTCCAACCCCAGTTCCCTTTTCAGCCTATAAAGGAAGAAAGACCATGAATGAAAAGAAGGATGGAGGGCAGTGTTTAGTTACATGACTTCAAAACTACAGTGAGATTTGGGCACTGTTGGTGGGGCAGAGTTATGGGGATCACTAAAGCAAGCATCCAATTCCCAAGTATCTGTATCAGGGTATGTGCATGTAAGCGCAGTGCCTACAGAGGCCAGAAAAGGTTGTCAGATTCCCTGAAGCTAGAGTTGCAAGTGGTGTGAGCTGCCACATGTGGATGCTGGGAACTGAGCTCCTGTCCTCTGCAAGAGCAGTACTCATGCTTAACTTTTGGGCCATCCCTCCAGCCCCTGAGAAATTATTTATTATTGTTGTTGTGCGTGCGTGTGTGTGTGTGTGTGTGTGTGTGTGTGTGTGTGTGTGTGTGTGTGTGTCTGTGCGCACATGCGCGTGCGTGTGTGCTACAGCACACACATGGAAGTCAAGAGGACAACTTTATGGAGTTGGTTCTCAACTCCCACCTTTATGTGAGTGCTGAGGATTCAACCCAGGTTACCAAGATTGTCAATCAAATACCTTCACTCACTGAGCCGGGCACTTGGCTGGCTCATCCAAACAGTTTTATGTTGTACATTCACTTAAAAAAAGGGAAAAGGCTCTCTCATGAAGCCCAACTTCTACTTCAGTGCCAAAGGTGAATACGACAGGTAAGGTCTCCATGCCTCAAAGGAAAAACATGCCACTGTATATTATCCTACCCATGTTAACAATCACCCGAAACAGGTGGCCTTTAATTGATAACGGATAAACAAGCAAAAGCAAAAGGACCAATGATATGATATAAACCAGACAAGGGCAAGAGGCTCCAGAGACATGGACCTTTGGAGTGGACCTGGAGTGATGCACGCAGTGGAGACCAGCAGGCCCAGTCACACAAGAAAGAAAGTGATGGGTCAAACTGGAATTTTAGAAAATGGAGTTGTGATTAGTTTGTTTTTGAGGTTTTTTTTTGTTTGCTTTGTCAGCTTGACACAAGTTAGAGTCATCTGGGAAAAGGGAATCTCAGTTGAGAAAATAAATGCCTCCATCAGACTGGCCTGTAGACAAGCCTGTGGGGGACACTCGCTTGATTAAGAATTGATATGGCACGGTGGGCGGTGCCAAGCCTGGGCAAGTGCTACTGGGTGCTGTAAGAGACTAAGCAGCCAGAAAGCAGTACTCCTTCGTAACAAATAAACGCTTTCCTTCCCAAGTTGCTTTTTGTCTTGGTCTTTATCACAGTCATAAAGTTAACTAGGACAGAAATGCCTACTGGAGGGGACCAAAGTAGGGACAAGGACACCTGTTAATAAGTTCTGCGCTACCTTAACGGCAACGTCTTTAATCAAGGTGATGGCACAAAAAATAGAAATGGAGAGCCCAGAACATTTGGAATTGGAATCTAAGAGGGCTGATGACATGAGGGGCCCGCTTGGAACAGAGACCGTGGAGACAGAAGGAAGAAAATACACTAACTTGCTCCCGAATACACACCACCCATGGAATGCTGTTTTAGAGTAGGTGTGTGTAGCGGATTAGAGGCGGGGATCCCCGCCCACTAAAATCCGGGAACTTTTATTTAAAGTGGGCGGGCGTCAGCGGAGAGTGCAACATGAACACAGATACTTCCGGTTGTTACGGAAGTGAGACTTCGCGCTCCTCCCTCGGCGGCCAGACAGAGTGACAGGATGGCCGAGCGGACGGCGCGGCTGCTGCTGCTAACCGTGACAGTGGGGCTCGCGTGGGGCTCCCAGGGCGACCGCGAGCCAGTGTACCGCGACTGCGTGCTCCGGTGCGAAGAACGGAACTGTTCGGGGGACGCACTGAAGCACTTCCGCTCCCTCCAGCCAATCTACATGAGCCTAGCTGGTAAGCCCCACCCTCCAGGGATAAGCACCGCCCATCGGGTTTAGCCCCGCCCACTGTCCCTGCTGTTCTGCAGTCGCGGAACCTCAGTTTCCCCATGGGTTCGCTCATCAGTGTTAATGTATGGAACCTCTTGAGTATGTGTGGGGTCTCAACAGCCCGTCCTAGCTTTCCAGAGGCTTGATCGTATTTATTCAGACCTCTACTTGTTGAACACGGCGTACAAGACCTGAAATAACAGGAGGCCGACCAGGAGCGAGCCCTTTTGGGTTTATAGTGCCCAAGCCGGTGAATGAATATTAGCCTTCACAAAGACAGAATGGTTGGAGCCCTAACAGACCCATACAGTAAGCACTTCATGCATTTGGAACAGGAAGGAAAGGAGTCCGCTTCAAGGGGTGGAGGCAGGGATCACCATGAAGAGGGAATGGATGCGAACCAACATACTGAGACCCACACTTGACAGGCATCACCACAGCTCAATTGACTTTCACCACCACCCATTGGGATAGTGTCCCTAATCCATTTTACAGATGGGAACACTCAGAGAGATTGAGTACCTTGCCCAAGGTTACACAGTCTAAAAAGTGGTAGAGCAGAATTTCCAGTTCTGACCTGTTTGACCGCAGCTCATCCTCATTACTACCCTTTCCGTTCCAGAAAGAGGGAACAGAGCTTGGAGGCCCTGGGAGGATTTGGGTACACGTAGCAGCTTGGTTTACCCAGAGAGCAGTGGCAATAAGGTAGTAAAGGCAGCTTGGAATCTGAGGATCCGGGGTGAAGGGGCTGAGCTTTATTTTCATAGGAGGTTGGGAGACGCCAAGGACTCCACCCTGGATTCAGAATGGAGGTATATAAACCCAGGTCCCCATAGACGGGCCTGTCAGATGCCAGGAGCTCCATCTTGGGTAAAGGGAGAAGAAACTATTCACTTTGCTCTCACTGCTAAAAAATCTGCCCCCCCCACCCCGTGTGTGTGTGTGTGTGCGTGCGTGTGTGTGTGTGTGTGTGTGTGTGTGTGTGTGTGTGTGTAAGATTTTGAGATCTCTGGTTCTCTCCAGATTTTGGGATCGCCTCTGGTTCTCTCCATTCATGCCTGGGCTTCATCAGGCTGCGTATGCCTCCCTAAGCTAAGACATCTGTAGTCCTGTCTGTCTGTTTCAGGCTGGACTTGTCGGGATGACTGCAAGTATGAGTGCATGTGGATCACTGTGGGCCTCTACCTTCAGGAGGGTCATAGAGTGCCTCAGTTCCATGGCAAGGTGAGTTGGAAAGTCAGGAAAGGTATGTGGTGGTGGCCTTCAGCCCCCAGTTGGCCCATGCTGTCCAGCAGCCTGAGGTAGGGAGTCACAGGGAGGGAATAATGGGACAGGTGCTTGTCTCAGAATCTCTTGCTTTTCCAATGGTGCCAGGGTGCCCTGCTTCTGGATTTGGAATAATAATGCCTGTATCTCAAGCCAAGTGTGATGTTCACACCTTTAATACCAGCACTTGGGAGGCAGAGGCAGGTGGATTTCTTGAATTTGAGGCCCACCTGGTCTATGTAGCCAAGTGAGACCCTCTTTCCAAAAAAAAAAAAAAGAAAAGAAAAAAAAAACCACACAAACAAAAAGGTTTGTGTTCCCTCCCAGTAGTTCTGAGCTTCTCAGGGTTGACTGAGATATCCACTGACCCCTACTAAGGTGTTTTTCCCGTAGCTTCTCCAATGGGAGTCCAGATCATCAGAAATACCCCTCACATTGACCCTCTTCTTTGTGCCTTTTGGCCCAACATTATCTCATTTTGACCTGTTAGCACAAAGTAATCAGGCACTCAGAGGACTATGGGATGTAGTTGAGGAGGGATGGGACCTGGATCTGGATGGCAGGTCTGTATGGTTTCACCTGGCCTGTCTGCTGTCCCCAGAGTCAGGCTTCCATTGCAGTGCCTGCCTACCAGGGAAAGACTCTAATCTTAGCCAGGCACTTCCGGAGAGACTCTCATTGACTTGAGAGAATATAAGGCTTTCCTGGAGACCTGTTGATGCAGCGGCCAAGGAAAGGTTGACCAAGCCAGTTAGGGGCTGCCTCCCCTCAGGCCTCCTCCCTGTGCTCCTTTTCCAGTGGCCCTTCTCCCGGTTCCTGTTCATCCAAGAGCCAGCTTCTGCCGTGGCCTCCCTCCTCAATGGCCTGGCCAGCCTGGTGATGCTCTGCCGCTACCGTGCCTCTGTGCCAGCCTCCTCCCCCATGTACCATACCTGCATGGCCTTCGCTTGGGTAGGTAGCCTAGCAGGATGCTCTACGCACCCTGCTCTGCACAGAGGAGCTCTTCCATCCCCAGTGATGGGCTTCTAGGAACCAGCTTCTCTCTTTTCCAGGGCTAACATATATGGTAGTCAGGCCCAGTGGAAATGGAAGGAGCTGGACCTCCCTTCCTTCTGACCGGGACAGTCTTCTTGGGAAGGAGGGTGGATACACATTCTTGTCCTAAGTGAGGACACGAAACTAAGTGAAGAAACTCAACGGGCAGGTTGCTAACGTGGACGGGAAGTGGGCTGTAGGGACCATGCTGGAACCGCTGGTCTCTTCAAGACCTCCCTGGAGGATTGACGTGTCTTTTGTTCTGACCCAGAGGTCCTATTAGAGCTTAGCCTAGTGCAGGTCTATCCCTGGAGAACTCAGGTGAGTCCACATGAGCAGGAAAAGGATCTCAGCCTCACCGGTCTGATGGGTCTGAGGAACTAGAATCCAGACCTGGGGTCATTGGAGAAATGTGGAGAGGACACTGTGACAGTGAGGGGGGATGTCTGGGGGTGGGACTTCTCTGACAGGCCTTAAGGAGGAAATCCCCATCGCTCCTTCCTGTCATAAGAACCTCCATTTGTGTGCATTGGCCACCTGCTGCACACCAAGCACTTTACTGGATGCTGGAGGCCCCCAAACGTAAAAACACACAGGTCTTTGCCCTCTCATACAAGTCTCACAGTCACACAATTGGATGTCAAAGTACAGCCTCGAAGAAACACAGAAGAGGGGAGGAGCTGTGGGGCATGTGATGGGCGGGGCCCTACAGGGTGGGCAACAAGGGAAGGCTTCCTGGGATATGAGACAGCCATGAGGATTGGAAATGCCTAGTAAGCATGAAGAGAGCAGGGCAATCTCCTAGACAGAAAACAGAAAGTGTAAAGACGGCAAAGAGTAAGGGGCATCTGTAGGCCAGAAAAGCCAATTGCCACAGAGACAGAAGTGGCTCCTGGATCTAGTGGCTGGAGGACTCTGACCATAGCTGATAGCACAGGTGTGCTGAGATGTACAGGAAGAGCCTGCTGTGGGAGGGAGATGGACATGGAAGGAGGAGGTAGACCTGGTATGTGCTCTCTTCAATGGTAGCAATGACTGCAAAAAGAAAGGAAGGAAGGAAGGAGAGAGAGAGAGAGAGAGAGAGAGAGAGAGAGAGAGAGAGAGAGAGAGAGAGAGGCTGTGTGTTTGGGACAGACAGTTGGGCAGAGTGGCCATGCTTGTAATTCTAGTACTTAGGAGGCTGAAGCAGGACTTTAAGTTTGATGTCACCATAGGCTATATATTTGAGACCCTATATTAATTTTTTTGCAGGACATGGTGGCCTTTAGTCCTAGCATTCAGGAGGCAGAGGCAGGCAGATCTGAATTTGAGGCCAGCCTGGTCTACAGAGTGAGTTCCAGGACAGCCAGGGCTACACAGAGACTCCCTGTCTCAAACAAAAACAAAACAAAGCAGTTTCTTTTAAAATTTGAAAACAGTAGTTATATCTGGATGCAACATGAGTCCAAGGTGATCCTTAACTACATAGTAAGCTCTAGAACAGCAAACGCTATGAAGGAGACCATTTGCATGTGCTACTAGGCTTACCCTCAGCATTCAACAACATTTCCTCGTGGGATCCTCATCATGTACTATGTTTTTTGAGTAAGACTTGGGCACACAGGACTTTGGCCTCAGCTAACAGCTAACAAGTCAGCAAGTAGAGAAGACCAGGCTAGCCTCTGGCACTGCACCACTGGGCTCCAGGGCTAGCCTCTGGCACTGCATCACTGGGCTCCAGGGTCTGAGTGGTTGCTGGAATAAACACTGGCTGAGCAAGAACCAGGTTTTGCATTTGTGTAGCCCAGAACCACAGAGCAAAGCCTGTGTCTAGCCCATTCAGCCTGGAAACCAGGATTGGATGCATGTGGGAAAGGTCAGCGGGACCTAAGATCTGGAAGCAGGGCACAGGTACTCTGGTAGGGAACAGATGCCAAGGCCCTTGGGGCCCCTTTATGCCTTTATGAGGTCTTCCAGGAAGACAGGGGCCACTCTGGTTGGATAATTTAGGTTTTGCTTCGCTGACTCAGGGTCTCACTGTATAGCCCAGGTTGGCCTTCAGTGTTCACTCTTCCTGCCTCGAATGGCTGACGTTGCTGTGGTAGGCAGGCACCAGCACACTTTTCTAGTTTGGATTTCATACTTGCTATTGAGCCTTGTGTTTCTACCTGGAGGGTGTGGCGGCGGACTTTGTCCTGGGCCGGGTCTTCTGGAACAAGTGTGGCCCTCATTTGTGCTGGGGTGTGGATGGGAGGGTCAGGGGTGTCTTTTCTCTGATACCTCTGTCCCTCAGTGGAGCCTGTGAAACTTTAGCACAAGAAGGCTGCCCCTGCCTTGCTATTTAGACCCTGGGGAGGTACCAGGAAGGGCTGGGGAGCCTGCCAGAGTCCTGTATACTGTAGCCCTTTGACTTCATGAAGTAAGGGAGCCTGACCCTCTGCCAAAGCTAGGAGGCCAAACCAATTCCCCACCTTTATCTAGCAGGGGAAGACTCTCGGGTGTAGATGAAATGGCAGGGACCGATTGGAACATCATTTCCAATGATGTCAAAGGAAATGGCAAGAGAAGAGATAGGCTGAAACTGTAGCAGAGTGATGGCTAGAGTTCAGGAAGGACTTCCCCACTGTCAGTCAAAAGCCAGTGAATCAGACAGTGATAAGAAATGAAAAAAAACTTTTAAAAACATTTATTTATTTACTTGTATGCCTGGGCACATGCTGTGGCTCGATGTGGGAGTCATACAGCAACTCAGAAGAATTGATACACCCTTACTGTGTAGGTCCTGGGATTTGAACTCTGGTCATCGGGCTTTACACAGGTGCCTTCATCCAAACCGTCTCACCAGCTCAGGAATCCTTCTTTGGCGGTGGAAGAAGCCCCGCCTCCCCTCAGAGTGAACCCGAAGTAGTCTTGCCCTGCTGGACTATGGCCCCAGAGAGGGGGCAGGATGGCAGCAGACATCATATTTAACATTCTGCCTCCCCCACTGCTGAGACACCAAGCTATTTAAAGACCCACTTGTCCCCACCATGATGGTGTCAATGACAGCCCCGAGCACTGGGGCTTAACACCGGGGTCAAATTCCTGACAGATCTGGCTCTCTTGGCATCCAACCAGTTTCATGGCTGATATTTTTGTCTGTTTTTGTATCTGCCAGCAAACTTGAAACAGCCTCCTGCCTCCCTCCATTGCTGTCTCTTCATACCTGCCAGGACTGCGACCCTGGCCCTGAGTTCCCCATTCTCAAGTGTTTACACAAAATTCTCACCTACCCTGCTGGTCCCTCCCACCACACTGAGTGCAAACAAGGAGTGCGGAACAGTTGTGCATCCCCCCCCCCCCCCCCCGCCCCGCCCCCCATCTGTCCTCTGCTTGTGTCTGACTACAAGATCTTAAAGAGAAACAGCACTGGCTGGGACCATAAGGATGGCAGGACTATGCTGATGAGACAGTGGACCGTACTCATGGGACAGTGGCTTGGGAGCGTGAAGAGGGACTTTTCCCATAGCTGAACTGTCTGCACCCTGGAGCCGGTGCCCCTGGAGCCCCGTGGTTTGACCTTGAGGAAGGAGAAGTTGGAGGTCAGATGAAGGGAAGTGGAGAGTCAGCCTGGGGGACGTGATGAAGGAAGCCAAGGGTCGTGGGACACCTGTGTACCAGGGACACCTGTGTACCAGGCAGCAGCTGTAAAAAGCATGTGCAGTGCTGGAAACCGAGACAGAGCGTAAATAGCTTACCTGAGGACACACAGCTCTAGCCTAAGGCTAGAGCTTAAAGCCCCTAGGTTTGGCTCCATGGCCTGCATTCTTAGTGACAGTGCCTTTTTGAGTCATGGGACACTCCTTAAGAGAGGGACATCCCAGGGGTTCAGAGTCCAGGCTTCAGACAGGACTCAGTAAGTACATGGCTCCTTGGAGGCAACGGATAAAAAATAAAAAAGCAGCAGCCCACACCTGTGTGTAGGGTACAGCCTGGCCCAGTGCACCTCCACTCTCTGCTCCCAGTGTTCCAACTGCCACTTAGATCAACCCTCTTGTCACCTCCCCCTTCCTGCTGTGGGTGACAAGGAGGCCTGGCTGGCTGCCAGTGCCTGCTGCCTTCCCCTCCTCCCTCCCACACTGGTTCCAGGGCCACTGTCCTCCCTAAGATGTCCCTGCACCTGGCCTGCCTGGTCCTTGTGATTGCTTGGGTCCTGTCTCCAGCCCGGGGTCACCCCTCTCCCCCACACTGACCCAGCTCACCATAGGCCTTGTGAGGGAGGAGATGAAGGCCACTCAGGCCTGTCCCATTTCAGGAGGAGGCCTTAGGTGTGTTCTGAACTTTTTAAAAAAAAAGATTTTATTTATTTATTATGTATATGGTCTTCTGCCTGCATGCAGGCAGAGGGCACCAGATCTCATTCAAGGCGGTTGTGAGCCACCATGTGGTTGCTGGGAATTGAACTTAGGACCTCTGGAAGAACAGGCAGTGCTCTTAACTGCTGAGCCCTCTCTCCAGCCCAATGTGTTCTGAACTTAGGGGTCACAGCCTGTGTCCCAAGGCAGGCTTGGCCACTCACCCTCAATAAGCCAATCCCAAAAGCCACGTGAGGCCGGGCACTGGTGGCACATGCCTTTAACCGCAGCACTCGGGAGGCAGAGGCAGGCAGATCTCTGCGAGTTCGAGACCAGCCTGGTCTACAAGAGCTAGTTCCAGGACAGCCTCCAAAGCCACAGAGAAACCCTGTCTTGAAAAACCAGGAAAAAAAAAAAAAAGCCACATGAATAGTGGAAAGAAGAAAAAGGTGATCTATTCAGTGTGGCCACACGGGGAAGTCAGCTTAGTGAGGATGAGTGACCAAACCTGGCTTGGGACACAGACTATGACTCCTCCTCAGGTTCCATAGCAGGCTGAGGCACAGCCAGGTACCCACAGTAAAGCTGCCTCCCAAGTCTTCTGAGGAAAGGGCTAGAAGAGGTGGCCTACCTACCATGAGACACACCTCAGAGCCTGGTCAAGGCTGCAGAGGCCATTCTTCAGTTAGCCCTCTATAAGTAGAAGGCTTTGTATGTGACTGTCTGGCAGAGAAAGTGAGGCTCAGCCTGACAGCCCAGCATCAAGAGTAACCTGCCTGGCTCCAAGCCCTGCCTTGCCTCCATCCTGCCCTCTCTGTTACCCTCTGCTCCTAGCATGTGTGGGAACTCAGCCATGTCTGGCCCTCCTGCTGTGAGACCCTACAGACTGACTTCCTGACCTGTGTCCCCTGCCTGGCCATTTGTTGTGATACCTAAGCGAGCAGCTCCTACAGGCCTGTTCTGCAAACATCTCTGTCCACCTTCTGAGTACCACAGACCAGGGACTGCTCTACCTTTTGTGACTGACTTCTCAGCCTCTGGTTCCTGTCTCCACAGTAGCCAGCCCTTTTCTCAGTAACTTGGGCCTGTGCTGTGGACACAGGCCTTGAAGAAAATGCCAACACCGATTCCCACAAGACAGTGTATTTGCAAGTCTCAGGCTCTGCTGTTCCAGGAAGAGGGCCCCTAGCATTCCCCTGGGCTTCTTCAGCCCTGTCCCTACTCCTCCCAAGACTCCAGAGCAGCTACTGGCCCAGCGGGTTAGGCTGGTCCAGCCAGGAAGAAGCTGGGCTCAGTTGGCCAGTCTTCCTTAGAGGCTAGGTTCCAGTGGGATCTGCCTCACCTCCCTCCCTGGATCCTCCGGACACACCCCAAGCTAGCTCAAGCCCCCACCCACCCACTCACCTCATTCCCGCCCCCAGAAGCTGAGGTCACAGGCTCCCTTGGGCTGGGGTGGGGTTGTCATCACCTGGCAGTGTGGGGGAGGAGGCAGGGCCCTGGGGGCTGTTGTCTTAGAGATTAGGTAATTTGGGAACTTGGCTCTGCCAGGACTGGTTCCCTGGCCAGGCCAGAACCTGTGGAAGCTGCAGCTCTTCGGCCTGGGAGATTTGGGTAGCAGTGTAGAGTGGTGGGAAACCCTCCTGTGGGGATTGACTGGGTAGGAGTGAGGCCTGGCTTTGTTCAGACGGTTCTTGGGGCACAGGATGCACACTTTCTTTCCCCCAGCAGAGCCCTGCAGGTCCCCTCCACCTTGAGCTGCATGCTAACTGACGTCTCCTTCCTCAGGTGTCCCTCAATGCTTGGTTCTGGTCCACAGTCTTCCATACCAGGGACACTGACCTCACAGAGGTGAGCGCCTCCCAGCCCCCTGCATGAGACAGGCCCAGAGGAGCCCAGGAGAGGACAGAGCAGGCTCCACGAGTGAAGGCAGTGCCATTTGCAGAGCCTGCATCCCTTTCTGGCATCCCAAACCTGGCAGCCCAGGGAGCCTTACCTGGGTCTTGCCAGGAGAGTTTTGTCATTGGTTTCCTGATCTATAAGGCCATTGAGCTTGGGAGAGGATGAAGTCATTTTCCTGGGGTCACCCAAGCTAGTGTGATCCATGTCTATCACACTCCAAATGACGTTTTGAATTCCTTGGTTGGCCCTTCTCACTGCCGTTCTAAAACATTTTATAATGTGGACGCAGGGAAACAGCCTTAGGCAGAGGGAATGCAAGATGGGGCTCCTGCAGACTGAAAACCCAGACTCTGTCCCCTCCCTGCCTCATCCCTGTGGCTCCTCTGTGGGCCCCGACCCGTGCCATGCTCTGCTCCCCTCACCCGGCCCTCTTGGGCTCTCCCTGCCCTCAGAAGATGGACTACTTCTGCGCCTCTGCTGTCATCCTGCATTCTATTTACCTGTGCTGTGTCAGGTGAGCCCTTGGGACTGTGGGTCGAGCGGGGACTGCCGAGGCCTTTCTGCAGGGCTGCCTTGCATGGGGATGCCAGGGATAGAGGGACGGGGCTTCTCCAGGAGTTGTGGCCCTTGGTTTCTGGGAAGCAGTTGGTTTGGTGGGACAGGGAGAGGACAGTGGCTTCAGCAAGCCCTCAGCCCCCTGGGTGAGGAAATGGTTGGAGGACCACGGCTCTGAGGAGTTGCTGTGGGTGCTGGACAGGACCGTGGGACTGCAGCACCCGTCAGTGGCCAGGGCCTTCGGAGCCACACTGCTGCTGATGCTGCTGCTACACACCTCTTACCTGAGCCTCGTCCGCTTCGACTACAGCTACAACATGATGGCCAATGTGGCTATAGGTGAGGCCGCAGCGCTGCGGAGCTGCGGGTGGGTGGTGGGCGTGAGGTGGATTCTGGGACGGGAGGCTGGGGTGGGTGGGGTTGGGACGAGGGAGCTGGACTCAAGGAGGACGTCCAGTGAGTGACCCTCTCCCCGTCTCTGGCCCCTAGGCCTGGTGAACCTGGCCTGGTGGCTGGCCTGGTGCCTACGGAACCACCGGCGCCTGCCTCACACGCGCAAGTGTGTGGCCGTGGTGCTGCTGCTGCAGGGGCTGTCCCTGCTGGAGCTGCTCGACTTCCCACCCCTCTTCTGGGTCCTGGACGCCCATGCCATCTGGCACATCAGCACCATTCCAGTCCATGTCCTCTTTTTCAGGTTAGTGCCACCCCCAACCCCGGGATTTCCTTCCTGCACCCTTCCTTACCCGCTCCTAGAGCAGACTGGGGCTCCCTGTGCCCGCTTGGCCTTCCCGCTTGCCTGCTGTCACCCCACTGTCTTGGGAGGTTCTGAGGACTGGGTGACTGCCTCAATGGGGTCATCTCTACACCCACAGATTTCTGGAAGATGACAGCCTGTACCTACTGAAGGAGTCTGAAGCCAAGTTCAAGCTGGACTAAAGACCCTGGGAGGGTGTAGCTCTGCCTGGTTCCTGCTGCTTCTCCTTTCTCCCCCTTGAGATGATCGCTTTTTCCTTTTAGCTTCTTGAACTTGAACATATCGGGTTTGGGCTTGGAATCATATAGCCACCCACCCCTTGCTGGCTCTCACAGGGCAAGACCCCCTGTCTTGGGGGTGGCCTCCTCACATCTGGATAGTGAGTAGGCAGCCCTCCTGGGCCTGGGGCTGAACTGGGAGCAGGTTATGGGGTCTACGGAGAAAAGTGCTGCTCCTGTCTGCTCAGCTACTCCTCTTCCCACATCACTCACCCCATAGTACCACCCCAAGTACCTCCAGTACCTCCGCTCACCCCTAAATGCCACACCTACGGCCCTTTGGGGTCTCTTTTTGTCAGGGAGCCACTAGGTGGCACTGGAGGCCTGCTCTTCAGCTGCCCAAGTTTCTCCGTGGTCTGAGGAACTGAGCTGCTGGGCTGGTACCAAGGAGGGCTTTCCACACTGCCTCCTGCACCCGCCATTCTTGCCTTCAGGGCCAGGACCCCAGGGGGCTCAGGGTTAGAACCCTGGCTGCTGTTCTGGTTGGGGATGGACACATTGACACATAGAGGGTTAGGGACCAAGCCAAGAGCTGACATGACCAGATAGCCAATGGGCTATGTTTGGCAGGACTGGGGCATTGTGGGCCTTCACTTATAGTGTAGAGAGTAGATGGTGTGTTCAGAAGGCAGGTGAGTGGGGGTGTCTGAGATGAGCATGCATGGGCTACACTGGTAGGAGGCTGGGGTGAAATGGGGGAACCAAGTCATCACCAGCAGTCATTTGAGCTACAAGTCTGCCTAAGACCCCAAGTCCAACCAGCTGCCAGCATGTGCATTTGACCCGATAGGTGCTGAGAATGTGGAGGCCTGCCCTGTGCCCTTTTGCTCTCCATTCCAAATCACAGTCCCCCCACCCCACCCCCGAATGTCTTGAGAGCATCCTGCAGAACTAGCCCCTGAAGGGCAGAGAGAGGAAGGGGAAAGGTGCTCCTCCCGCCTCCTCTCTACCTTGGCATGGTGTGCCTCCCACTCCAGTTCCCTGCTGTAGCCCCTCCTCACAGCCTGGACTTCGGGGGTGTCAGGCAAAGGGGAAAGAGAGTGTGGAGCTTGTGTCTGAGTGTGGTCACTGCCCTCTATAGAGGAGCCTGCTCTCCCCTGAATCCTGAATCAGTCCATCAGGGAGGCAGTCTGCAGCTGGACCCTGCCACTACCCCTGTCCTCTCTTTGTGGGGAGGTAGCTATGCCAGGGCTCCAGCTCAGGTACTTTGGCAGCCTATTAGGGTTTTTGTTTTTTGATACTAAGAATAATTTTAAGGCTGGGGACAGTAAAGGATGTGTTTAATAAACCAATTCCTGACCTCGCTCGCTCTGGTTCTGCTTCTCTGTGTATGAAACAGGCTGGAGGGGAGGAGATGTTGCTAGCCAGTGGCAGATCTCTACTTGGATACATGGGAGTAAGGGGGACATGGACACGGGCAGAGCTCCGTGTGTGTGTGTGTGTGTGTGTGTGTGTGTGTGTGTGTGTGGGTGTGTGTGTGTGTGTGTGTGTGTGTGTGTGGGTGTGTGTGTGTGTGTGTGTGTGTGTGTGTGGGTGTGTGTGTGTGTGTGTGTGTGTGTGTGTGGGTGTGTGTGTGTGTGTGTGTGTGTGTGTGTGGGTGTGTGTGTGTGTGTGTGTGTGTGTGTGTGGGTGTGTGTGTGTGTGTGTGTGTGTGTGTGTGGGTGTGTGTGTGTGTGTGTGTGTGTGTGTGTGGGTGTGTGTGTGTGTGTGTGTGTGTGTGTGTGTGTGTGTGTGATGTTGTGGGGAGCTAGCACCAGCTCTTGTTTCCCAACCTGTATTTGTGTCTGGACCTCAACACCTCCCTGCTATCCACTTCAGTCTCCTGGCTCTCCAGCTTTGACTTTTCTTACTCAGGCTCCCTGAACTTCACCTGGAGACAAACTGGCAGGACCTGCTACTGAGCTGAGGCATCATGACTGGCCACTAGAACCACACAAGTGCCCGGCAGGCAGCAGCTGCTGCTTGTGCCCTCCTGAACTTGGCCTTCCTGGCGTTGGGAGAATGGGTGGTACAGAAAGCAACCTTCATGGAGGCTCCTAGGGAAAAAAGAAAAGCTATGGTTGCCCCCTCCTAAACCTCAGCGGCCTCTACATAGTCTCTACTTCTAGGAGAACCACAAACAGCACTGACATGGCAGGGGACTGTTTCTTTATTAGGTGCCATTTCAGGTAATAAGGAACTTGGGAAGTACAGGACACCAGGTGCATGGGGCCCTCACACCGGCACCCCCATCTTCTGAGCCCAGGCAAAGAAGATGCTCTTGACGTCATCTACACCTGTGCGGAGGTGGGCAGGCATGACATAGGTACGAAAGTCTCGTACCTCATAACCACCAAGGACCAGGGCCTCCCGCACCTCCTCCTCTGACACTGGCACCACAGACAGCCTGGCCTCCCCAGCAAGGTACCACGACTCCTCCAGGGCCCCGATGAGGAGGAGATGACCCCCAGGCCTCAGTAGTGTGGTGATGTGATGCAGAGCCCTCTGGAAGCTGGCGAGATCTGGGCTCACAGCCTCCAGGCAGAAGGCAGAAACCAAGGCATCAGCAGGCAGGGGTGCCAGGCTGGAAGTTCCCAGGGGCTGGGGCTGGTGCACATCTATGGGCAGGACTCTCTTCACCCTGGCTCGTAGCTGGCGTTCCTTCTCCTGCCAGGACTCACTGTACAGGGGCACAAGGCAGGGCTCAGGATCACCCCAGGCTCAGGCCTCTGCCACCCTCCACCACCACCCACCACTCCACAGGACGCTGTGCTCACCCCTTGCCTTCAATGAGGCATGCCTGCTGGCTATACACACTCCAGTCAAAGGCTCCTGGTTCCTCTCGAAGCCAGAGTCCCAGCTCCTGCCGGTTGACCTCCAAGAAATCTGTCATGGTGATGTCCTCAAAGTGGGCACAGGCACTGAGCAACTGGTATATGGTGGGGCCTGAACCAATGTCAATGAGGACCTGTCCAGACACCTCACCTGGTGAAGCAGAGAAAGGGGGTTCCAGGTGGTCCGTGCCTCAGCCAGCCCTCCCATGCTCTCCCAGCCCTTCCGGGTAGCGTGGGTAGCGTGAGTGCCTGGAGCAAGTACCGACACAAATCAGGTTCTACTGGGGGCCATCCTGGGCTACCTACATTCGCGAGAAGCTGGGCTCCTCTAACTCAGGTTCCACCACTCAAAAACTAGCTTTAGTGACTATCAAGTGGGGAGATTCTGAGACACCTACCCTTTCCCTCTGGAGTCTCCAACCTCGGCCTCAGCCTTCAGTCTCTTCCTATACCCCATCCCGCCTGTCTCTCAATCCTAAATACCCTCCCCTCAAAGGAAAAGGCATCTAAATTGTCTAGTCAGGTCTCCAAGTCAGGGAGGGGCTCAAGCTTTCCTAGTAGCTGGGACCATAGGCCCGCACCACCACGGAGCCTGGCTAACTTGCTCACTCTTGATTACACAAGCTAGCCACTTATAGTTCTGCTTCTTGGTCCCCATCTAGTGTGCTTTCTTGTTTCTCTCTCCCTTTCATTTATCCCCACGCCTTCTGTTCTCTCATGCCTCAGTTTCCGGTGCTCACCTGTGGCAAAGGTCTGTGCCATGCAGCGCAATTTCCAAGGCCCAACGCCATCAGGGCTGCTCAGGTCCCCACGAGGAGGAGCATAGTTGTTGCGGAGGTAGGCGCGAGGCTCGAAGCCCTGGTAAGCGGAGGCGACAGCTGCCCGGCCAGGGTCCGAGTCAGGGGCCATCCCTGCAGCGCGGTTCGGGTCAGTGCCGCAGCTCATGCTTCTTCTGTTGGGGCCTCCTATCCCCCACTAGCCTCTCCACCCCTTTATCTACCACTGCCCCGCCCCGCCCCGACCCCTCCATTGCGGGGGCAGCGGCTGAGGGATGAGGTGCCCGGGGCCACTACATCTCTGTCACCCCATCCATCTCTGTTAGTGTCCGGAGAAACAGACGCTCGCTGGGGAGGTGTGGAGGGCACCCTCCATAGCTCCCGCTTCACCCTTGCTCTGCATTTGTGCTCAGCAACCCTCCACCCTCCACCCATACCTTCCCCTGCTCACCCCTTCCCGTGCGGTCCTACACCCCCAACCTCAGTTCCGGGACCCTGCCAGGTGCCCCAGCTCCTCTCCAGCCTCCCACGGACACTTTTGCCCAGCGTCCCATTCCCTTTCTTTCCCAAGGTTTGCACAGCCCATATTCGCAGTCCCATCACCTTCCCCCAGGCCTCCTTCCCTCTCTTGGGGCACCCCTTACAACACCCCCCTTCCTAATAATGTCGTCCCTTCCTCCAGGCCTGGATCCCAACTTTATCCTCCAAGCCCCTTCCCTCCTCCAGAAGGGACACTCTGTTCTGGCCTCTGTCTTGGTGGCCCCGGGGAGGCCATGAGCAGGTCTCTGCCCTGAGCATCCATGGCAGCAGAGATAAGGGAGTGAGCAGAGCTAATGCTTTTAGCAAACAGAACATCCGGGCATCCCTGTGGCCTCTGGGGCTGTGTGTTGCTTATCTGGGGACCAACAAGCACAGCCAGTTCAGGATGTTCCTACCACATCAGGGACAGTGGACTCAGGGAAGGACAAAGAGTACTGAGCTCATTCTGGGTACTGCCACAGCCACTGGAGGGGCACATGGTGCACTTTTGGCATTCGGAGGGTACAGGGCCCTGACTTTTCTCCCCCAGTCAGCACTCCTGCCCCTACAGGGCCAGCAGGTCTTGCTCGGTGCTTCAGGTACCTGGCACACAGCGTCTACTCTTCGGTCCCATCTGCTTGAAATGACAAACCACCCTGCCAACAGCATCTCTAGTCTTCCTAAAGCAGAACCCTCTGAATGAACCCTGTGCCCTTCTGGGATTAGCAGGATGCTGGTTTCTGCTAAGATAGTCCTGGCCTCTTTCGATTCAGTCCTCCTTTGTGCCCCTTCCTTATTCCAAGGGGACAGTCTCCTTGTTAGGCCAGACACCCAGGTTGGGTCATGAATCATCCTAACAGCTGCAGGGGTCACAGACAGGAACCTGACCCTGTCCTCCCACCCAGGCCAGGCAGGGTGGAGCACCTGATGCCAGCCAAGGATTGATTCTGTCTGGATCTACAAGTGACAGGCCTTCGGTCATTGACCCCATCTACACCCCAAGGCACAGCCAAGGACAGCCCTTGTGCCAGCCCATTCCATATCCTCTGCAGATACCATTTAAACAACCCTGAAGCCAGCTGGCCTGCTAGGCACTCTCTAGTGCCAGGGACTGGACATAGAAGCCAGGACTGGGCAGTGACACAGGAAGGGGGACCAGACAGTTACCCTGTTTACAGTTCTTCCCGTTCCCCACCCCTAAGCATGGAGTATACCCTCTGGCTGTGCCATATTTAGCTCAAATGCATGGCTGCTCCCAGAAGTGCATGGGAGACAGTAATGCTCATCCCAACCACAAAGAAAGAAAGAAGCCTGGAACATGGTTGAGCATTTATTGCAGTGCTAACAGAGGGTGCTGGGGGCCTGCCCTGCTTCTGCCCTCTTCACATTTCCCCTCCCTGCAATCTTCAAGCTTCCTTCCCAGGGCATTCCACATCCCTTCCTTGTCCTACTCCGTCTCTAACTGAACAGGTCACTGTTTCCCGGGGTTCTTGTCCTCACCAGTATCTCTTGTCCCTTCTTCTGGGGCTGAGAGCGTTCAGCCCTCCACCTCTAGGGCCCACCATCCTTGCTCCCCTCCCTTTGGGAACTCAGGACACCTAGGCATCCTGGCCTCTGGCTCCCTCCTCCCATAGCCCCCACCTCTGGGCAAACTACAAAGCAGCCATGGCCAGAAGCTCTCCTCCATGGTCCTAGCCAGGAAGGGCCCAGCCCAAGGCAGACACAGTGGAGCCTGAGTCACAGTCCATCTCAGCCTCTCTGAGCTTCCTGAGACATGGATCTGGACAGGGTACGCCGCAGGGTCCCGGGTTTGCTGACAGGCACCACGGGGGGAAGCTGCTTGGTGATCTCAGCCACGTCCTGGCGCTCCACACACTGGCCACCCAGGGCTGTCTCCAGTGCCAGCAGCTCCCGAAGCTGGATGGGGGTCTCCTCACGCTCCTCCTTGGCAGCTCCCACCTTGGTGGGGGTGAAGATGGGCAGCGGCAGCACCCGCTGGTACGGCAGCTGGTATTCCTGCAACCCACGGCCCAGGATACCCAAGCGCATCACCAGCCAGGGTGAGCGTTGCACCACTGCCTGGCACTGTCCCTGCCTGTGGTAGGTCTCATGTCTCTGTGTGTCCTCCTCATGCAGGGAGCATCTGAAAGTAGAGAGAAGGGTGGTGAACTCCTGGGAGCTGCTAAGTGGGGGCTCCCTGGATGGCCAGGTCCCTGGGGCGGGGGAGGGCCTCCAGAAGCTTAAGGGGTTTGCACTCTGGTGTGGGGAGGGTGCTCTGGGGAAGCAGAGGCAGGACTCCCAGATGATCTGTCACACTCACCCCTCTTCTGGCCGGGTGGACAGAGTCAGATCTTTCCACTCTGCCCAGAAGGCTTCCCGGCGTTCCTGGTTCTCCTCAGACACTTGGCAGCTCAGCTCTGAAGTAGCCATGATCCCTTCTTGTTCCCTCTGCTATGCCTGGCTCCTTTGGAGCCCTTTAAATAGCCCCTTCTCCCCCTTCTCCAGGGACTATTTTCAGCCCCTCTGGCGTCACATGCTATAAGCAGAGCCAAGACTCACTGGTGGTGGTGGGGCTCTGAGTCCAGCGCGGGGGCTGGGGTACCCAGTTTCTGGCTGCGCCCAGGTCAGAGGTCAGCTTCTAAAGCAAGGAAAATGTTCTGGTGAGGCCTGGGGTCCCCAGAGTGGCACCTCCAGTTATCTGGCATTCTGCAAATGCCATCTCAGACCAGGCACATGCTCAGCCTCGTGCCACCTTGGCACCGTCCTCTGCCCTGCCTACTCCCCCTTGTCCAGGGAGGACAGCAGCTTGTCTGTAAACAGAACAGACACAGGAACTGATGCCCCCCTCACTCTGCCCCATGGCTTCCGTCTCCCTTTCCTGGGTTCAAGGGCACATACCTTAGTGAGGCCCCTTGACCAGCAGGATCATGTAACCATGTCATCAGGTGTCTACACAAAGCCTGGTTCCTAACCAGCAACACACCAGAGGAGGGGACACTATTGCAACACCTGAGACCCCTGTGTACGAATCTCCCTAGGGCCCGTGGTTAGAGAAGCAGTCTTCTAAGGGCTGTGGGTCAGGGTGAAGGAGGCAGCACTTATTCCCAGTGGCTACGTGGGAGAAATGGGGTGAGCTAGAAACAGGGGGGTCCCTTAAGGAGCAGTCAGAAGACTCAGAACTAGCCTCAGGCTGGCTGTTTTATGTAACCAGGGGACAGTCCCTGCCCCCTTGCACGTCTCACTTTCCATGTTTTTTGGGCCACAGTGGAATGGCCATAGAACTCGGGGACCTGTCGGTTCCATTGGTTTTATCCGGGAAGGGGACTAGCTCTCCACATGAAGCTAAGTAAACAGATGTCATGAAAACGCCCAAGCACCCAGGGAGCAATTCATGGTATAAGCTGGTGAACAAGGTGGGCTAGGGAAGAGGGGCAGGGGAGAGGAACGAGGACATTACTGAGGGAGTGAGCAAAGGGCACCAGAAGAAACAAGGGAGGCTGAAGGCTCCTGGGGACATCAGAGAGCACCCAGGTGCTATGGATGCAGAATAGCACATTACTGACTGCCAAGACCTCTGTCATTTCACAAATCTACAGCACCCTGGTCCTTCCTGTCTGACAAAGTAGGAAATGGAGGCTCAGGGAAGGTTTGCCCAGGGTCTTGTACCCAGCCAAGACCAAGAAAAATCCACTTGGCTCCAAGCTAAGAGTTCTTTAGAGGCTCACATTGGGGCACGGTAGTGGCTGGGCATGGAACCCAGGCTCCAATCTGCCCCTGCTCAGGGACAAGCTGAGCCTTGTAGACCCAGGGTCTATGTCTGGGGTGCATAGAGCTACAGGTAGCTCAGTAACCCTGAAGCCAGGTACCACCTCCAGGCCTGCTGTGGCTCTGTGAGCATCTCCCCAACCTTCAGCACTGGGCCTGACTGGCTCAGTGGAGCCTTTTAGGAAAGGGGAACCTAGAAACTGTTCATCCTGGTGCTGGTGAGGGGCTGGGTGGTATTTCTCTCAAGAGCTTCTGGGCTCAGCTCTGCAGTAAGACTTAAGCCAAGGCCCCATAGCAGGCAAAGCTTTTGTTTATTTGCTTCTTAAAATTTACTTTACCTTTGTGGGATCAATGTCTATCTATGTAGTCCTGGCTGTCCTGGAATTTGCTGTGTAGTATAGATCCACCTGCCTTTGCCTCTCAGGTGCTGAGATTAAAGGCATGAACCACCACAACCAGCATTTTTTATCTTTTATTTCATGGTTTTAATTGGCTCACATTATTACAAAGGTCCCCAAGGAGGCCTTGGGAGAGAGGGAGGACATGGAGAGGCGGAAATGCAATGCCATCCCCTATTGCCCCACCCGCTCTTACATCCTGCAATGTGTATGGAAGAGGGTCACAGACCCTTTCACTAAGGGTACAAAACCATCCTAGCAGTTGGAGTGGAGAGCTTCCTCGCCTTCACGCCAGTAACGGGCAAGCCCAGGTCCTCTGTGACCAAGTCTGAGATCCCTAGGGAAGCATGGGGGGGTCTCCTCTTCCAGAAGGCAGGGACTTTGTGTCAACATCGGAAGAACAGTCCTGGCTCTTCCAGTCTGGGGCACCCCAGAGTCCAGGTGCTCAACCTCACAACTGCTCAGGGTCACGTTCCCGGCAGTACGGCTGGCTCAGTGGGAAGGGACAGCCAGGGAATGAGGTGCCACCTGCTGCTCAGCATCACCCTTCATCAACAGCAGGAAGCCCAAATAGTCCCTCTTTCAGTCTCTGGAGGCTATGGAGACAGAACCCTGGCCAGCAGGGTGGCGAGGGAGCATGTTCAAGCTCGGGCCCCCAGCTCTCCAATTCGCTGCCGCAGATGAAAGGCAAATTCAAACATGGTGGCTGCGAGGCTCTGTTGGATAAGGTACCGAGGCAGGCGACCCTAGGCAAGGCAAGAAGAAGTCACACCACGCACGGCTAGCCTTCAACAGGGTCCCCCATTAGCAGCCTGCACTAGGAGGGGTGTCCTGGGCCAGAGGGCAAATGTAGCTCTGGGATCTGCCTGCCCCCCCCCCCTTACTAGCAGAGGGAGGAACATGCCAGGTCTTAAGTACAAACAGACCCAGGTGGGGGTGGGCTGGCAGCCAGCTATTCTTGCTGGGTACTTAGGAATCAGGAGTAAGAAAGGGCGGCACGGGTCTCCCACAACTCAGGGCTAGAAGGCCATCTGGACCTTGCAGACTAAAAGTGGGGGGCCCTGAGTATGGCAGAGAGGAGTAAGGTCACACAGCAACCAAGACTCCATTCCACAGGGCCTGCCTTGCTGTTCCCTGCCATGACCTCACCTTGAGATCTGTGTTAAGAATCCAGATGAAGGTGCAGACTCGGGGGGTGCTGGCTGACTTGAGTACAATGAAGCCTCCAGGACCATTCTCTCCCCTAAGGAAAGAAGTACCACAGGGGAGGGCTGCTGAACAAAGCCAGTCCCCTAGCCACCCCTACCCTATTCTCGGCCTAGCTGAACTGTGGTGGAAGAGGGGGCACAGATGACAATCTAGGAACTATCTGCCTGCCTCAGTATGGCTTGGAGCTGGTGCCAGGGGCCTCTACCCACACCCACATCTGACACTCGAGTCTGCTGACCGTTGCCTGCTGGTGCTTTCTCTCACCCCACAGTGACAGGGAGCTCACGCTTCCCCAGTCCTTATCCACTATGTACAGACTGTACGTGGTAACTGTGGGATGGTGGCCTGGGGTGGCACTTTTCACCACCCCCATCCATGTCTGGGTAGCATGGCCTCCAGAAGAGGGCGCCTTTGCTGGAGGCAGCTGGTCACCTCCCATGGCCTTTTTGCCGAGCACACTTAAGCTACTCCCACAGATAAAGAAGTGACACAGAGGACACAAGCCTGCCCATCCCCTAGTAAAGCTCCTAGGTCCAGAGACAGAATCCTAACCTCAAGTTCTAGCAGAGAGCTCTGTTGGAGCCACTTCTTGGATCAGCCATTGTGTGTGTGTGTGTGTGTGTGTGTGTATGTGAGTGTGTATGTGTGTGTGCACGCATGTGCGCGCACGTGCATGCTAGGGTACCCCTCACACCTCTGGCATAAAAAAAGCCTAAACTCCATTCCCTCTCCATCCACACAGAGGAGACGGGAAGCAGGGGGGCACGGCTTTAGCCAAGGCAGAAAGCTGAAACCCAGCACCACCTCCCAGCTCCTTGCTCCTGGGCCCATTCCTGGGACTATCTCAGCCAGCCCACTACACATACACCCCTTCCAGCCTTGGTGGTGGTGGCATGGTTCCAGGCAGCAAGATTAGCAGGATTAGGGATGGCCAAGACTGGTAGGCAAGGAACAGAATAAGGCTTCAGCCTCAGACATGGGGGTGAGAGGGGAGTTGTTCCAGCTGCACACACTGTACCCTGTGTTGTTCACAGCTTGAGGGAGGCCAGACTCACCTGACGTATTTGTGCGTGGGGGGCTTGGCACAGTGTGTGGTGGCAATGCCAGATGATAGGTATCGGTCTCTGCGCCGCTCAATGCGCCGGACATTCACAAAGTCCCTGGGGTGGGGGTGGGGGTGGGGGTGGAGGCAGGTTAGAACACAGGTCCCAAGTGTGGGGGCTTGGCTAGGAGGAAAGGATCTGGGTGCTCACCTGGGGGACACAACGCCACCTGCAGCCCCTGATGACACATCATAGGAGACAAGGGTGCTCTCCTCTACACGCTGCAGTATCTAAAGGTCAACCAGGGAGAGCTGAGGTACAGGGGAAGCCTGGACATTGCCCTGGCACCTCAGGAACTCCAGACCAGACTCCTCCCTGCCAGGGACACAGTCCTAAGAGCCACCTCAGGCCCAGGGCTGGGTATAAGGCAAGCACACTGAGCCTTCTTGCCTCTTGGCCTTCTCCAAAGGAACCATAGCAGCATCCATCTTATATGAGAAGCTAGGTCCCCGGGAGGAAAGTGATTATAAGAAGGTGTGACTGTGCCCTGATCCAGGTCATAAGAGGAGGCAAGCAGGGCCCGGGTGGCTCACCTGGCAGGCGGTCACTGTCTTGTTCCATAGCACCATCCTCTCAGGCTGCAGGATCACTTCCTGGTACACCAGCTCAGCAGGACAGGGCAGGAAGGTCTGGGGGTGGGGGTGGGGGGCCGGGGGTCAGGGCTGGGTGGTGCCAGAGAAGCGACCCCCTAGCGGGAGATTTGGCAGCAGCACCCCAGACAGAGCAGGTGTCTCTGGGATCCCCTTCCCTACTCACCTTCAAGATGAAGGTCTTGCCATGGAAAGGAACCTCAATGGTGTACACAGTGTCCCCATACTCCTGTGGCAAGGACAGAGAGTGACAGGGAGGAGAGTGGAGGGCACAGGTGGGGACAGGGGGGGGAACTTGCGGCACAGGAACTGGTGACAGGCCAGGTAGGTTTCCTGGCCTAAGGTGAAAGCCCCAGGAATCTGGGGACATCTGGGCAGCCCTCAGAGCACGGTGGCAGACCCGGTGAGCAGGACCACGTGCAGAGGTCAGCTCTGTGCTCACGTTGAAAGGCAGGAGCTCGGCTGGGACTCCAAGCTCTCAGCTGCCAAGGGCTGCCAGAGGCGCTGGCCAGCTAGGACTCGGGGCACCTTTCCCTGTTTCCCCAGCTCTCTGCAATCTTTTTAGATAATGTTCTTTTGATCGTGAAACAAAACACCACACATGGGATACAGGTTGGCTTCACCTCAAAACCTGAATCCCAGGAAGCCAAACATCAGGGAGATGAGGCCTGGGCTGTGGAAGACGGCGACAGAGTCCAGTCCGGCTCGGCCTCCTACTGAATGGCTGACCTCAGGCTGTGGCTAACTCCAACCCTGTTCCACTGCCTCCCTGGGGCAGCCCTCAGGTTCACTTCTCAGAAAAAGGGGTCAGAAAAAGGGGTGAAGACTCCTAGCACATGCGGGTGGGGCGGGTGGGCCAGGGGCTCCTTACATTACTCCTCTCGAACTTCCAGTTCTCCTCCTGGGCCAAGATCTGATCCACCACGGCAGTGGCTTCCCTCCCCTGGCGGATGTACTCCCGCTCCTGAACAGGGAAGAGAGACCGTCACCAGGGGCCCACGCCCTCTTTCTCCACACACTCCACACCTTTCCAGAGACCAGCCCCGTGGGATGTGGGGTTCAGGCTGGTGTCCCCGACCCTGCACACTTTGTGTGGTTTGCAGGATTGGCTGGAGTTCCTGTGTCCTAGGGCATGGGGCAGGTCAAGGGGCCCGACCAGCCAGTGGTGGGGCAGATAATCCAACAGACAGGCACTAACTGGCACTTAGACCAAGGTTTTTCTTCTGCAGGGAGATCTGTCCAGCCTGGCAGGGCACAGCACCGACCCATTTCGAGGGTGGGGTGGAGGTGGGCAGTGAAATACCTGGGCAGAGAAACTTTTCTTCCCAGGGACTTCCTCATCTGATTCATTGTCAGACCCTGTGGGAAACAAGAGCAGATGACAATGGCGGGGAGGGGGGGGAGCGAGAGTAGGAGGTGGTGGGGTTCAGAGATGAGTGCAAGGATGTGGGGGCTGCAAGTGTGTGGGAAAGGGTTGCTGGCTTTCCCCAGGGAGCCTGAGAGAAGGAACAGAAAGAACAGACCCCCCCCCCCCCCGCACCCCTCCCCAGGCAGCTCCCCACCCAGCAGCTCTCACCTGCAAAGGATTCTGGGGGAGAGTAGAACTGGCCCTCAGACAAAGCACTGGAGAACAGCAGAGGTCCCCGGGCAACAGCAGCCTGAGCAGCAAGATACCCTGCAGAAGGAAACACCAGCAGAAGGCAGCGGTTATGCAGACCAAGTGTCCCCAACTTTGCTCAGAGAGGCTGCTAAAGTGGCAAATGGCTCAGAATGACTAAGGCATGCAACCCCTCCCTCGGGGCTGAGAGGACTTTCTCAGAACCCAGCCCAGCCTGGCCCTAACCCCAGCACTCACATCTCTCCTCTTCAGCTTCCTGGGGCAGGACTTTGAAATCAAGGAACCAGGTCTCTAGCCAGGCCAGGACAAAAGAGACAATGGGAAGTAGGTAGCCGAATGCCCCTTTGCTGAGCAGCTGAGATAGGAATAGAACACTAAATTCCATGGCAGGAGGTTACCCCAAACCTAGAACCCCCTCCTGAGGCCACCAGCTCGGGCTAGCCAGGCCAGTATATGCCCTATGTCTGGTACCAGCTATTTAGGGACCGACCGGTTATGGCACATGTCTCTAAGATGAATTATATGTGTGGCAGGAAAAACTGATTCTGGATAGAAGGTGTGTGTGTCTCAGGTGGTGGACAGAGCTTTGGGCTCCATCCCTAGCTCTTGAGAAATCAGCGGGGTGGTACATGCTTGTAATCCCTGATTGGGGCAGTAGAGACAGGAGGATCATAAGCTCATGGCTATCACCATGTTAAGTCCTATTTTTTTCCAGATTTTTTTTATTTGAATTAGAAACAAGACTGTTTTACATGACAATCCCAGTTCCCTTCTCCCTCCCGTCCTCCCCTACTACTCCCCCAACTAAAGTGAAGTCCTATTTTATGCATTGGGGAGGCAGTGGCAGGAAGAGTTCTATGAATTGGTGGCCAGACTGGTCTACACAGTGAGTTCAAGGCCAGCCAAGGGCTACATAATGAATCCCGGTGTCAAAAAACAAAACAAAACAAAAAAACAAAAAACAAGATGGGTGGTGGTGGCACACTACTTTAATCCCAGCACTTGGGAGGCAGAGGCAGGTGGACCTCTGTGAGTTCGAGGCCAGCCTGGTCTACAGATTGAATTCCAGGACAGGCTCTATAAATTAGATACAGAGAAACCCTGTTCCAAAAAACCAAAACCAAAAACCAACCAAACAAACAAACAAGGTGTGTGTGTGTGTGTGTGTGTGTGTGTGTGTGTGTGTGTGTGTATGTGTATGTGTGTGTGTGTACATACATACATACATACATATAGAGAGAGAGATTGAGAGAATTATTGAGCTTTGGGGTGGGTGGCAGGAGTATAAGTTAGGGAACCCAGTAAGGATGACTCCTTGCAGATAATGAGGAAGAAGATTCCCTTCTCTCCAACACAGCAGAAGCAGATATCCCAACCATCCAGGAGAGAAGCCCACCCTCAGGCTAGATGCCTATCAGATCCACTAGAGCCTGAGCCACTAACCTCAGAGAGGATGACCTTGACGATGAGGAATGCACTGGACACCAGTGTGGTGACCTGCTGGGCAAAAAGTGGGGCAAGAGGGAAGGCGGAGGCTGGGGAGTGAGCCCTCTCCATGCAGCCCTCATGCCAGCCCCGACCAAGGAAGGCCTCAGAGTTGCCACAGGGGGCATCTTACCGCAATCACCCACCAGTGGCGGAGCCGTAGCACAGCATAGCCCAGGAGCAGCCCAGAGAAGCGAAAGAATGCCAGAATCTGGTGTGGAGAGGGGAGGCATCGTAACATCAGACGCTGGCTGGCTTCCACAGCTCTGCTGCGGGGTACCCTTCTATCCCTGCTCCTCCAGACCCCCACATGGTCATCCTCACCTCCAGTGAGAACAGTGGCTCAGTGTTTCCTTGGCATAAACTGCATGTAAACACCCTACTCAGAAGCCTGGTCTCCCTGCCCCTACCTTGGGCTCTCTGAAGGTGGCACCACTTAGAAGCTTTGTGAAGACTGAGGGCTGCCAGAGGATGGAGCTGACCCTCCCGCACCGGGCTGGCTGTGGCATGTAGAAGGAGAGCCCAGCCGAACTGCACTGTCTTAGAGCCCAAGGTCACTCACAAAGATGTCAAAGAATGAGTTCTGAAAGCTGTAGTGGATGATCTCCTGCTCCAGGTTTCTCCGGATGCCGGTGTTGGTCTAGAGAGGAAGAGAGAAGGGCTCTGAGGGCAGAAGGGAGCGGAAGACTGCCCCTCCTCAAAGAATGGTGAGGAGCCCAAGCCAAGGGGATCTGAGAAGAGCTGGAAGTGACAAGCCACGACCCAAGAAGGCCCCTGAAGCAACAAGAGAGCCGAGCCAGCAGCCCAAGACCCCTGGCACCAGTTTGGTCTCTCAAGGACACAGGCAGCCCACACAGGCCAACCGAGTTCAAGTACACTGCCCAAGAAGGTCCAGGCCTGGAGGCCTGTGGAGAGCAGGGGAGCTGGTAGCCCCATGAAAAGCTAGTAGCTGGGTCCCGGAGACTGCCTCTTCTATAATTTCATTTCCTTCCCAGCACTCTGGTTCTCCATCTTCCCAGCCACCATCCATGTGGGATGAGGGGGGCTGGGGTGGGTAGTGGTGTCAGACAGAGCCCCAGGTGGCAAATCAATCAATTAGGTTTGTGCTTAATGGGTGAGATCCATCACAATGCTGCTGCTGCTGCTCCTTGAGAAGCCGGCATGGAAAGTCAGCGCACCAGTACTTGCTCCCGTCCCTGCCCAGCCCACCATGGATTTTCACCAAGACCCTTAACACCTTGGCTCAGACACCAATGTCCGGGGATCTGGGAGATGACGAAATCTGGATAGATTCCAAGGGCCAGACTCCTCAGAGGGGATGGAGATGCCAGCCCCCGGGGAGAAGGGAGGATTTTGGTAATGGAGCCCAAAAAGACTTTTAGTGTCAGCTAGACTGGAGGCTTCCTACCCTGGCAGGTCATCTACACTTTGGAGTGACTTCCTGTTGATGTCTGTTTGATACAGGGTACAGTTTGGTCCAGGCTGGCTTCCAGCTCACTATACTATATCCAGATAAGGATGACAGTGCTAGGATTACAGGTGTGTGTCACGCCCAGTCTGGGGGCACTTGTTAAAAGCTCAGGCCACTGAGTCTGGATCTTGGGTTGAGCCAACATTAGGAACCCTTTAGAAATCCCCCAAGTAAGGCCAGCAAGATAGATCAGTTAGCGAAGGTGCTTGCTGCCTGATGATGCAGACCTGACTATCTAGGTTTGAGCCCCCCCTCCCAAAGCACATGAAGATGGGAGAAGAAAACTGACCCCACAAGCCATGTGCTCCCCAACTTACTCCTCCCACCTTCAAAATAAGGAAAAAAAAACAAACAAACTTGAAATCAGTAACATTTTCAGCCAGGCATAGTGGCACATGCCTGTAATATCAGTGCTCAAGAGGCTGAGGCAAGTGAATCTCTGAGTTCAAAGCCAGCCTGGGCTATGCACGTATCCTGTCTCAAAAATATACACACTTTTTTCTCCCTATGTCTGCCAAGTGAAATGTCACAATGACTCTATTAAGAGTTAAACCCAGTATTCTGAAACTTTTCATTACAGCTGAAAGCAGTTTGTGGGTTAGATGCTACTACTTCGCAGGAATTCTCAAGGATGCATGACTGCTGAGCAATCACAGCTGTCAGCAGAAGAATTTCAAAAGCAAAATTATCAGCATTCTCCCAGCTCTTCTCTGGTTATAAAATGTGTATTGAATTAGGGGTGGGTGAGCTGTCGGGCTGCTTAGATGGCAGCTGGGACCTTCAAGGTGCCTAGGATCTCAGAAATTCAGTCCTTTGTCAGTAAGACTTGCATCACCCCAAGGGTACCAGTTCATCTCGGATACACAAGGCAGTCACCCACCCTCAGAGCCCTGCCTTATCCCTTCAGCTCAACATGACCAGAAGAAGCTAAGTACTTCTTGGCCATCTTGCTGCTAACTAATGACCCCTTTCCCACTTATATCAAGAAAGGTGAGCTTGAGACTGGAAAAAGGATGCTTGCCAACTGTAACTCTGACAGAAAGCCCACCCTAACACAAGGCCCTGGGACACCCGGCTCCAGGGTTCCTGACTTCGTGCATACTGAGGTTCAGTCAGATCAGGCCCAAGGGTGGGAACAAGCATTATAGGGGTGTGGACACTGCACTCTGAGACAGTTCCATCTCCGGGCCACCAGGCAGCATCCCCCAAAACAGGGCCACTAACCAGGAACTGGGAGTTTTCACCCCACTGTTTCTCTGCTTTTAGCATAGCACCTGGGACACCAAAGGGCCTCCAAGCATGTCAGATGAATAAATGGATGAACATGATTGAGAGATCCAAATAAGGCAGAAAGAAGGCAAAAATGTCCTCAGCTTGCTAGAGATGCTTCTCCTATTTGCAGAGTCCCCACTAGGGGGCAGTGTGGTACAGAGGCTAAGTGCATGGCTCTGGAGCTAGAGATCTGTTCCCCTTCTTGCTTGGGGAGCCTAGGACAAACGAGAACCCCACTTGTCCCCCACCCCAGCCTGCCCAGTCCTATTGTCCTGTTCTCTCTCTTTATGTAGAAGATAACTACAGCTATTCTTATTTCCCATTCTCCACTTAACTCAGATAATCACCTCCATGCATGAGGCTACCCTCCCATGGTGCAAGTGGGTGAACTAGGAACCAGGGAACTACCTCCCCCACAACATGGTCCCCACTCACATTTAGCTCGATGATCCAGAGGAGGGAGATGAAGAGCAGGTCGAAGGTGACAAAGAGACAGAAGGTACGGCGGACGTCAGAGATGGCCCTGCGTTTCTCCAGAGGTGGAGGGATGAAGCTCTGGCTGTGGGACAGCGAGGTGCCCAGGGAGGCCAGGGCGGGCAGACTGCGCTCTAAGTCACAGGCCAGCTCACTAGGCAGCTTGCTCATCCTGGTGGGTCCCCACGTTGAAGTGGGGACAATGGGGTCTCAGCGGCAGGGCTGGAGGAAGAGATAAGTGGCTGTCAGGGTCCTGGTGGTCTCAGGAATACCACCCCTTTCTATGCCATCCCCAGGTGCCCTTTCTATTTTACAAAATATCTGGGCTCCCCTGTTCTACACCAAGGCCCATAGCTCTGCTCAAATCCCCCCATGAGCCAGGATCCACAAGGTGGCAAGATGTGTGCATTCCCCCTGCTCTGCCTTGCAGCCTACAGGTTCTGGGATCCCCCAGCGGGGGCACTTACTGGCCTCTGAATCTTGGGGATATAGCCTGTTCCTGCACAGACTGGAGCTCTCAACCTCAGGTCCTGTCAACAGCCTTTGGCCTGCCCCCGCCCCCACCCCCAGGAGCAGAGGGCCCCAGGCTCTGTTCTTTGTTTTCACAGGACAAAGCCACATTCCCTCCCAGCAGCCGGCTGCCCCGTCACCCCTAATCCATGGCAACTGGGAGGGACTCTGGAGCAGTATCTCAGTGGTCTGGACAGCAGACATCTTGGTATCTTCTCTGTAGCTCTAACACCCATGCCAGCCCCAACTACTGTCAACTCTTCACCCTCAACAACCCATGTTAGTCTTCACAAGGCAGCTGGGGGAGTGCTCAAAGCAGAAAGCTGCCATTCCCCCACCTACCACTCTCGCAACTAAGGGTGAGGTAGGGTGGGGCACTGTGCCCAGCTCTTCTAACCAGGCAGCACCCTGACGCGGACTTATCACTGCCACTTGGGCCTTCGGTCCGGTCCCTCCGGATGTGGTAGCCCCGTCCATCTCTGGCCCCTGGACCTGGCCTTCCTGTTTGTTATGTTCGTTCCCAGCCCCAATGCTCTGCCCACAGTGGCCCTTCCCAGCCCCCACTGACAGTAGGCACCTCCCACCATTTTCCTTTTTTCAGTGAGCTGATGGCTACCTGAAATCTCCCGCATTACCCTTTCTCCCGCTGGACTGTGACGTCCAAGCACAGGCACAGGGCTCTGGCTGACTTGGTCACTGCTCTCTCCCATGAGCCGGACACTATGTGTGGCAGACAGCAGGTGCTTCATAACTGACTGCTGGATAAATGAACACTCCAGAAGACCTCCTGGCCCTCAGACCCATGATGCCCAGCAAAGGGAAACGGGGCCCCGAGTTCACACGGCCGCGTTTGTGCCCAAGCAGGACAGGACGGATCTCTGTATGGGTAAGATAGTCAAGGCTCTGGGGCAAGTGGACTTGTCTGAGTCCTTTGGTGCCATGGAGGCCCCATGCCAAGGGTCCCTGCTACACGGATCTGCTGAGCTACAAGAGGCCCTGTACCTGCGTGAGAAAAAGGAAGGCTTGTTGAGAGGCAGAGCAGCTATCTCCAACATGAAGCAAAGCAGCAGCTCCGGAGGCTAATGGAGGGAGAGTCCTGGGTATTTGTTCCCATTCACAAAGGTGGGATGGAGCGCCCTCTTTTCTGATCTGTAGGTGCTGTCTCGTTTAAACCTCTTTTCTCTCTACCACCTTCCTACCTGAACCTACCAAGAATTAAAAGGGGACCCAGTTTGTGGCCAGCAAAAGATCCATCCCTCTGCCTGGGAACAAACCCCACCAACAGGGGCGGACTGTTCTCAGTAGAGATCCCAAAGACACTGAAGGACCCAAGGACACCCCTGTATGTGATCACCTAGAGAGTGCTGAGGGGAGCTGGGCTCAGCTCCAGAAGAAAGCCATCAGTGGAGAGGATATGACAGGCCAGGGGCAATGGGACTGACTCCCCAGCATCCATCATGGGCCTGATGCCAGACTGCAGACCCAGCACATCCTTCACTGTGACGTATGTGCCCCAGCTCCAAGGCTGGTGACATTTCCTTGTGTCCTCCCCGACTGTCTGCCTTCCTCTCTGGCTGCATCTCCTCCTGTCTCTTTCACAAAATAACTTTCTACCTGTGAGTCTGCTGTAGTGACAGAGCACTCTGCCGTCCAGAACGGCTCAGAATCCACTCTGTTTTTTCTTCCTTTTTCTTTTTCAATTTTTCGAGGCAGGGTTTCTCTGTGTAGCTCTGGCTGTCTTGGAACTTGCCCTGTACACCAGGCTGGCCACGACTCAGACATCTGCCTGTCTCAGCCTCCCGAGTGCTGGAATTAAAGGTGTGCGCCACCACTGCCCAGCTCTTTGTTCTCTCTCCCAGATGTTTGTTTGAAGGACAGGATCTCATGCAGCCCAGGCCTACCGAGCCAAGGACAGCCTTGAGCTTCGGAACCTCCTGCTGCCACCTCCTGAGTGCTGGCTTATGCTGGGGACTGAACCCAGGGCTTAGTGCATGATGGGCACAGACACCTGCCAGCTGAGCTGCACCCTCAGGCCAGCCTATATAAGGGAAAAATTTGAGCCGTGTAAAGTGATGCATGCCATAAACCAACAACAACAACAACAACAACAAAGAGACAAATTCAAGGCCAGCCTGGGATACACAGTAATATTCAAACTCCCCTTCACCTGCTGCACAAAAACCCAAACCCAAAACAAGCTCTCCATAGAAATTTGAGGTGGGGACATAGCCCAGAAATAGGACCCCTGACTAGCATGTGCAAGAAGCCCAGAGTTCAACCCCAGCATAATGAAGAAAGAAAGAAAAAGAAAACAACAAAAATTTTAAAACATAGAAATATCACGCCCTCCCCAGCTTCCGGAGTACAAAAGTCTAAAATCCAGCTGCCAGCAGAGTTCCCCGGCTTCTGGTGGTGCCTGGCAATCTGGCCTTCCTTGGCGTGAGCTCTCCTCCAACGCCACACTCTGCTCCACACTCTCACAGCACTCTCCCCATGTCGCATTCATAAGGACACCAGTCACACAGAACCACATACTGGATTATGGGCCCATTTGCTCCTGGGTGACATCTCATCTGTGATGGCCCCATCTCCAGATAAGGTCACACCATGAAGTACAGGGGCTTCAGGACTTCAACTCATCCCTTTTCAGGGACACAACACAATCTATAACTGTACCCTAATTTTAAAATTTTTAACCCAATGTGTTTGGGTATTTTGCCTGCATGTAGGTCTGTGTATCGCATGCGTGTCTGGTGACCATGGAGGCCAGAAGAGGATGAGAGAGCCCCTGGCACTGAGGTTGTGAGCTGCCACATGGGTTCTGGGAATCAAACCCCGGAACTTTTTTTTATTTTCATTTTATTTATTTATTTATTTATTTATTTATTTATTTATTTATTTATTTTTTTGAGATAGTGTCTCACTGTGTAGCTCTGGCTGTCCTGGAATTCACTATGTACACCTAGCTGGCCTTGAACTCACAGAGACCCTGCTGTATCTGCCTCAAGTTCTAGGATTAAAGGCGTGTGCCATTATGCCCAGCATGAAGCCAGGTTAGCCACTGACTGAGCCACATCTCTCCAGCTCTGTTATTGCTCCTGGATGCTCATGCTCGCATGGGGATGGGGACACATATGTCACAGCATGCTTGCAGAGGTCAGAGGGTAACTAGTAGGAGTCGGTTCTCTCCTTCTACCAAATGGGGGCCCCAGGAATTGAACTCAGATCATCAGGCTTGGCAACAAGCCCCCTTAACAACCGAGTCACCTCACGGACCCTGTTTTGTTGTTTTGGGATGGGGTTCATGCACCCAACATTTGCCTTGAACTCTGTTTGTAGTTAGCGAGGCCTTTGAACTTCTGATGCTCTTGCCTTCACCTGCAAGATTAGTGGTGTGCACCACCATACCTTGTACGTGGTGATGGGGGCTGAATGCAGGCTAGGCGACACTCCAGCAGTTGAGCTACAGCCCATTATATCAGTTTTATAAAAGACTTCATTTTCTTATAAGACTTTTTGTTTTGTTTTGTTTTTTAAGACTAAGTCTCTCTCTACCTAGGCCAAGCTGACATCAAACTCAAAATCCATTCCTGCCTTCTGAGAGCAGCAGATTAACAGCCAAGTCACCACTTGAGCCTTAGTACTCTATTTATATACCCTTTTCCCACTCTGTACTGGGGATCCAACACAAGGCGAGGCCGTGCACGTGCCTGGCAAGCGCTGGGATGCTGAGTTATATTCGCAGCCCTAGTAACTGCGGTTGACAGATGAAATGCATCTCACTGAATCCGTGTCCTAGGAACAAACACTTGACATTTGTAATTAGCAGAAACGTTCCACTGAGTTAGGTGGTATGTGTACATTTTCATGTTGTTCCATATAAGATTCCCTAGAAGCAGTATTGCTGGGTCATCCTGAATGTGTGGTTTTGTTAGGCACTGCCAAATTCCCTTGGCAGTTGGCATTCCTAGCGTAATGTATGAGAATGCCTGTTTGCCCACAACCCACAGGAAATACTGTCACCCATGTCTGTCTGGGCCTTCATCTCCATTCCCCTCCCATCCAGGAGCCTCTCTCTGCACCCCCAATCATCTCTGTGTCTCTCCCATCTTTTATTTCTCCACCCCCCCTTTTTGCCTATCGCACTTCTGAGTGCTGTGGCTTTCCCACTTTCGGTCCTCCTGTCTTTCCCCTGGCTTTCCTGGCCCTCCCTGGGCACAGGACTTGGGTGGCAGCAGCTTGGGTGTGAGACATGCTTGGAGCAGCAACCGCCCTGAAACTCATACCCAGACATCTTTGTGGAGGCGAGAGACTCAGACAGAGCCGAGAGCAGAGATGCTAGGGGCCTGGGGGCGCCATGCATGGGCACTCACAGGATGGCTGAGGATAGGCTGGCCAAGAGCCACCCTCCTCACAAAAGCAGCTCCAAGTCCCCAGAGGAGACCACAGCTGACTCTGAGCCACTGTGGCAAGGCCTATTCACAAACTTCTGGTTCTAAGCAAGAGAAACTTAAAAAAAGAAATAAATGAATTAAACTTTATCTGAATCCTTAATATATACAAAAGATAAAAATGAGATTTATGGTACCCAGGTGTAGCTCAGTCGAGGGGGGCTTACTTAGCATAATGAGATCCTATCCTCAACCTACCAAAACCAAAATCCAGTCTGCTGTGGGTAGCAGCTGTGAGACCCACACATGAGCTTTCCTCCAGTGCCAGCATCACCCTGGAGACCTCCCAGAACACAGCATGCAGCTCAGTTCACCCAGGCGACTTCAAAGGGCCTTCAGTAGCCAGAACACCTGCTGGCTCACGGTAAAAGCCACCTTGACCTGGACCTGCCCCTAGGAGTCCCCTAAGCACGTGTTTAGCCAGAGGACAGAGGCTGGCAGCCACCAGAACAACAAACAGCCTGTTGGAGACAGAAATGAGCCCCTGAGAGCAGCACCCCACCCCCAAGCCCAGCCTGCTGTCACTGGCCCCTCCCAAGCACCTTCAGAGGTGTCAGGAAGGGAGCAGCAGCCCATGTGGCATGAAGCAGCAGTCAGCCTGGGACGGCTGTGTGCTTGTGGGAGCTGAGCCGTGAAGGCTTGGAAGAGTGGAAAGGAAGCGGAGAGCAGGGTGGGAGGGGCCGGAAAGTTCTGCCACCCACCCCAGGTGGGAAGAGGAGGGAGTGGGGTATGGTCCGGGCAGATCAAGCTCTTTGGCTTCTGAGGCAAGGAGGCAGGGGGTTACTGCAACCTCACCTGCTGCCCATGCCTTCTCTCACTGGCTCCCAGGACACACTGGGAATGGGTTGGCAGAAGGCCAATGGGGAATGGGATGTTGAGTTGGGCAACACTCTGGAGGTGGTAAATACAAGCAATGGATGCAGGATGCAGCCTGGGGCAAAGCACAACCACCCAGTACATACAGACCCTGGGCTGAAAACCGAGCACCAGGCCGGGAGTTGGTGGCCCACGCCTTTAATCCCAGCACTCGGGAGGCAGAGGCAGGCGGATCTCTGTCTACACAGAGAAACCCTGTCTCGAACCCCCCCCCCAAAAAAAAAAAAGAAAAACGAAGCACCAGTAACCAAAATTAACAAGTAGAATGGAATGTGCCAGAGGATAGTGTTCAAAGCCTGGCTTGCCCCACCCCCACCCCCCACCAACCGATGGGGCAAAGCAGATCCTTTCTGAGACTTAGTCCCCTTGGCGTCACCAATTTCATTTTTCTCAGAACAGGAGACAGAACCGGGAGTCGTACATCTTGAGCAAGGGCTGCCCCGAGGAACTACATCTACAGCCTCTGAGCTGCATGTTTGTTTTCTTTTCTCAGACACAGACTCAAAGTTAGTGTGCAGACAAGAATGACAATGAACTTCTGATCCCAGTGCTGGGATGACAGCCCTGCTTCTGTAGCGCTGGGGACTGAAGGCAGTGCGAACACACTACAGCTGAGCTGGCTGGATCCCGAGCCCTAAGCTATCCTTTTTCCTTTAATTTATGTGTATGGGTGTT